TGCACCTTCCACAATGGGTACGCATTCGGTGAATGGATTTCCAGTGTATCCAGTGTTGCAAATGCAGACTGGATTGTGCTTGACAACATTACAGAAAGTGTTCACACCACACGAGCCAGGACAAGGATCGACACACTGTTCGTTCTGACATGCAAGATTTCCAGGACATCCTTCGTTGATGACACATTCTGGTCGACAATTTGGAGCTCTGCCTACATAATTCAATAAACAGGAACACGCTGGGAATCCATCAATCACACGACACTGAGAATTTGGTCCACAAGGTGATGGAATGCATGGATTTCCACTTGGTTCTGGCCCAGGCTGTTTAGATTCCACTGTAAAAATTATTTAAACGTTCTAAAATTATGAACACTACAAATATAATTGTAAAGAAATATATATATCTCACACGAAATAAAAATAAAAAAATTAATTCATTTTTATACAAATATAACTCTAATGTAAAATAAATAATAATAATAAAAATCTTACCTTCGCTAACGCATCCAAAGAATGGATCTCCAGTATATCCAGACATGCAACTGCACACAGGATTATGGTTGATAACCTGACAATCAGCATTTTGTCCACAAGTGCCAGAACAAGGATCTCTGCACTTCTGATCGATGCAAGCCATGTTCTGAGTGCAATCTGTGCTGACAACACATTCTGGTCTACACTGTGGAGGACTACCAACATAATCTGGCTGACAGGAACAAACTGCATGATTGTCGATCACGCGACAATTACTATACGGTCCGCAGGGTGATGGTTGGCATGGATCACCTGGCAGTGGTGTCACTACGGCAAGGTAATATTATTATAATCAATAATAAAGAAATAGCAAGAATTATGAATTTGATTTTTGAAATCTTTGCCAATAGTATGATAGAAATATTTTATTATGAAAGTACAAAAAAGATAATTTGAAATAGACAATTTAAAGAATGATTATTACTTCTTTATTAGAATAAGAAGAAAATTTTCAAATTTTGAAGCTTTTGTATTTCTAACACTATGTAAAAGTTTATAGTATGTATTTATAGCAATGTAAAATTTCTAATACTATATTTAATCATGACATTTAAAATATGAAATTTATAACACAATTCCTTGTGATTTTCTTGAGATTAATATTTACCAGGCAATATATGGCAGGATTTCAATGGATCTCCAGTGTAGCCAGAAAGACAGCTACACGATGGCTGATGATTGATCACTTGGCACTGAGCGTTTATACCGCAAGCACCCACGCATGGATCCTTGCATTTGTTGTTTATACAAGCTTTGGTAAGAACACAGTCGGAATTTTGAACACATTCTGGTCTACATCCCTGGTAAGGATCTCCAGTATAGTCGGGTAAGCAGGTACACGAGCCAGCTCCGTTTCGTTCCTTGCAAACTGCATTTGCACCACACGGAGATGGATCGCATGGCAGTGGCACTGGGAAAACAACTGTAAAAAGCAATATCATTTATGTGTTGTAATTTTAATTTAATTAAGATAAAGAAATAAATTTTTAATACGAAACAGATGTGTTCTGTTGACCTTAGTTTTTAAAAAAACATAAGCTTTTGCCAAAGAGAATATATTCATATAATCGAGTTGTATCGTTGAAATTAAATATCATAATATTCTTTATTCTTCTTCATGTTATTCTTTATTTGAAATTAAACAATTCTCACCTTTGCTACATCCAGAGAATGGGTCTCCTTCATAACCGTCGTTACATTGACACATAGGTCGATGATTCTGAACCGTACAGTTGGTATTAAATCCACATGAACCAGCACACGGATCCACGCATTTCTTTTGAACACAAGCGAGATAATTTGGACAGTCTTGATGAATCAGACACTCTGGTCTGCAAAACGGTGGTGCTCCGAACATTCCACTGATACACGTGCAAACTGGATGATCTTCCTGCACGCGACATTCGGCGTTCGGGCCACAAGGTGATGGTAGACAAGGATTCTTTGGTCCTGGCAGTGGTATGTCTAATAAAGAAAACGAATAATTCACTAAAATGATTTATGATGTAATAATATAATTTATTAAAATTATTATAATCTGTTAATCACTTAGAACACCTTCCAAGTTGAAAATTTGAGAGCATTTATTACAAATTCATATTTTTAGACACAATTGTTTCACATAGTAAATATTATTATAATACTACTACAGCAGTATTTAATTATTTGCCCTCAGATCATGTCAAGTTACGAAAAAAAAAATTAGAACTAACTAGAGTATTAAAAATTTTCAAAAATTAAATTACCTTCTTTGACACATTGACTGAAGGGATCGCCAAGATAATCCGGAGGACAACTGCAAATCGGATTATGATTGATGACCTGACACAAAGCGTTCTGTCCACAGAGACCAGGACAAGGATCTCCACATTTTTGACCAATACAAGCCAAATGTACAGGACACTCTGAGCTAACTAAACATTCTGGACGACAATTTGGCGATGTTCCATGGTATCCTGGACTGCACGAACAAACTGCACGATCGTTCATCACTCGACAAATGCTATGCGGTCCACAAGGTGATGGCATGCAAGGATTCTGAGATGGAAGAGCTGGAAAGGGCAATTAAAATTGAATTTTACTTTGTCTTTAAATTTTCCATAAAAACGTATGAAAATACACAGATTGGTAGAGATAATTATGGAAATTGTTCTATGTTTATAATTTTTCGAGGAATGCAGTACTGAATTTATTTGCAATTTAATTGAAATTACTTCTATATCACTATTTATCTATATCTATATGTAATCTAAAATTGTAAATAGTTATTTACATTAAATTTAATATATTCCTATATTATACATATTATAAAAATAAAAATAAATATAGAAACAAAAACTTTTCTATTCAAACAACTACGAATAATACTTACGAGTTGTCTCCAATTTGCAAGAATTAAACGGATCTCCACTATAGCCAGGTAAACAAGAACAAACCGGAACATGGTTCATTACTTCGCATTTTGCATTGGCACCACAAACACCTGGACAAGGATCTCTACAATGCTGATTGAAGCAGGCAAGATGATTGTCGCAATCTTGATTCACAATACATTCCGGCTCGCAACCGTCCATATATGGATTTCCAATAAATGGTGGAATACACTTGCATTTTGGTATACCATGTTCTTCCACACAAACTGCATTTTTCCCACAAGGTACCAGCACACATGGTGAGAGTACATCTGGTGGAAATGCTGGAGACAAATAATAAAAATTATATTTCTGTACATTGTTACTTTATCCTTTAACTATTTGTTTAACGTTTATTCTGTAGATTTCATTAATTCCTAGATTCTATAATTTCATAAAATTTCAAGAAAATGGAGTATTTATAATATTGTGATAAATTACTGCTTAATCCTTAATAAATTAATCAGTCAATTTTTTACCTATAAAAACATATTTTATTTAAAATTTTATGAACTATGAGCCATTAAAAATTTAATAAATGCTTACCAGTGCAACTTTGATAAGGATTTCCAACAGTGTTCTTCGGACAGTAGCAAGGAGGCACTCTATCCGAGTCACACTTAGCACCAAGCCCACAAGGATTAGGATTACACTGATCAGATTTAGGTACGCATCCTCTAATTGTATTTGGACTCTCGATGTACCCTGGTAAGCAAGTACATTTCGCAACACCGTTTTTCAATATTGTACATTGAGTGTTAGGTCCACATGGAGATGGTTCACAAGGATTACTAGGAAGAATGCAAGGTGAATTAGGTGGATTTCCTTCGTATCCTGGCAAACAGAAACATCTCACTTGTCCTGACAGCACTCGACATCCAGAATTAATGCCACATGGATTTTCTTGGCATTGATCACCCTCTGGTACTGAACAAAAAAATTTATTTTCAAAATTATTAGAAGGAAATTATTATTTCAAATTATGGTAATTTACATATGAAAGTTATAAAATACATGTTAATAATTTTTTAATGTTGATTAAATTATTAAATTATTATTGATAATTAACTTTTAATTATTATTTTCATAAAATGGCTTCGAATGAATCTTCATTGAAAGAGTTTTGATTTACGATAATTAATATAATAAAATCCACCGACTAAACGTATTATTACTATTCCTATTTTAATATTTTAAATTCTTTTACGTGTATTTTCATTTTCATTGAAAAGAAAATAAAAAGATTCTATAAGAAGCTTCTGATTTGTGCAACTAATCTATATTCAAAATTTAACTATCCTGAATCGTTAAAAAATACTTACTGCATTGCTCGAAGGGATTTCCAGTCAATCCTTTCGGGCAGAAGCATATAGGATTGCCATTATCATTCTCGCACATGGCGTCTAATCCACAAGGATTTGGAACACATGGATTGGTACTCGTTAGCGTGCATTCAATGTGAGGATTTCCTTGGAATCCAGGCAAACATTTACATTGAGCTTGATGGTTCTCTGGATAACAATTAGCGTTTGTACCACAGTCGTTCTCCAAACATGGATCGATGCACTTTCGGTTAAGACGATCACAATACTTAGTCGGTGGGCAGTCTTCATTATATTGACATATGTTTCTACCTTCCTCTTCTGCAACGTTGAGTCCGTGAATATTTAAAATATTTATTTTATATTTTCTAATATAATCATGAAATAAAATATAAAATACATCGTATATTAGTTTGCAGATTTTTACGCATTTTCATATTTTTATGAACACAATTAAAGGAATGATGCATAAGTATAAATAGATATTCTACGCATTTTCTGCATTTCTTTATTCGTACATTTTCCATAAATATATAAAAATCTGCAATTTAATTGTTTCATGATCAATGTATTTTAATACAGAAGCTACATTAATAATTTATGAGCCTAATTTATCTTGAGGACTTTATATAATTCAAAACTGTTTGTCGAGAATAATGTTAAAACTACGTGAATCGTTTCTGAATCTAATAATTCTGCAATATAACAAACGAATTACCTGGTTCACAGTAAGAGAATCCATTTCCGTAATAGCCATCCTCGCAGCTGCACTCCGCTTGATGATTCGTGTTAACGCAGATCGCGTTTTTGGTGCAAGGATTCCAAACGGGGCAAGGTTCCTGGCAAGTGCCCTCAATGCATGCCTCAGTCAGCGGACAATCTTTGTCGCTAGTGCAACCCGCTAGAGAAAGATTGAGAAAAAAGCCCGTATAGCCCCGAGAAAGAGTGCACGAGTATAAAAACAAGGGTGGAAGGCTCGTGTCGAGTGAATCAGCTTGTATAAAACACAGCGTAAATAATCTGTGTAAATATGCGAATGCACGAAGGAGAATCGTGATTGGTATAAAACAATCGTGTCGTTGAATGATTTTCAAAGTTTCGAAAGTCAAAAGTTTGAGGAGGTAGTATGTAATACTAACAGATCTAATTGGAGATTTGAAAATCGTGGAAAATTGAAAGTTGAGTAATGAAAATCGCACGTGTTACGTGCAAGATATGTATATGTACAATATATATGTACATATGTACAGAACGATTCAAATGAACGCTGTAAAAAGAAATCAAATGATAGAAGATGTTATACTCGTTCTCGTACGAACCTTTTACGCAAGTATACGTCGCTGGATTGCACTCTGTACCCGCTGGACAGTAGGGACACTCTGTCTCGTTTACATCTAAGAAAATTGAAAAGAAAATAATTAAGAAAGATTTGTCTTTTTAGATAAAAACTGATGAATTATTAAATTTTTAAATTGACAATTTTTGAAACATCAAATAATATAAATTCGATTATTATTATTTGATTATAAATGTTCAAACTTTAAGCATTTTGAAATTAAATTCCTAAGACTCTTTAATTTTATTATTATTTATTGTTATCTAAGTCTAAAAATTTTCAAATTCTAGGCACTTTACAATTAAATTTCTAAAATTTCTTAATGTTGAGAAACATTATTTAATTAAATATTAAATATCAACTATTAAATATTACATATTAAGTATTAAACACAAAGTATTAAATATTAAATGTTACTAACAATTAGATTGCTAAGTTAAGTGTCCCAGTGAAAAATATAATATCTCAATTAGCACAAATTTTTGAACATCCAATGATTTAAAATTTACTGATGTAAAAATTAAATTTTCTAAAGACATTAATTTCTGAACTTTAAGAACGAATGTTAAATATCAAATATTAAATTTATTTCACATTGGAAATTTCGAAGTTGTATCAGCTAATTTTTATTTTACTTTCCCTATTAAGTGTAATTCAATTTTTTTCTCGAATTAAACTTTTCTTTTGAATATTCTACCTTTCACACAAACAGGTCTGTGATCTTGAACATGACAGACTTCCACGAAGTCGCAAGGATTGTGGACAGTGCACGGGTTCAGACACTGTTGACTTATGCAGGCCAATTGAGAGAGACAGTCATCGTGCGTTTTGCATTTGGTATCTAACGAAACGAACGTATATTAGAAGCTCAAAATAACTCATCCACGAACATTCATATTATTTCAAACTAAACTTTCCATATAAAAGATTATTATAATTTATTCATTCTTCGTATTTTATTCAACGACTTTTCTACATAAAAAATTCTCAAAAAATATATATATATCTAAAAAAAATATACACATATATCTAAACAAAAAAAACTAAAACAATAAACACAGAAAATAGTATACACAATCCTCTAATTTCTAAGACATATAGTGGTTTTCGTGTTATATGTGTAAAGCCCAGAAACAGTCGTTAGTTTTACCAATTTTAAAGGAAACGTTTCATTCAATATTTATTATTACTTAAAATTTGTTATTCGGAATTGTACAAAAATCGTTTTAAATGAAAAATACTGTTCGAAAGTTTCCTTTAAATTTCCATGAACTCCACAAAAAAAAACAATACAATTAATTAATTACTACTAGATAAGCGAGAAGAAAACGTGCAAGGGCGCAACACAATAACGTACAACATGCAAAAGAGCGCTAAATGCAGCAAGTCTCATGTCTGCAGTGGATTACAGCGATAAACTGTAATTATACTTATATTTATATAACATCGATTAAATATTCTATTTCCTCTATTGTTCCCACGAATAATCGTTCGATCATCATGTATCGTGATCGTCAGTCTATGATCTATCGATCAGAAAAAATTTAAAAAAAAAATATAAGACTCTCCAGAATTGGTTGCCTCCAATTTTTATCTGGATACTCGGATGATGTCACGCTGAAGAATGATTTGTCGAGACATATAAACTGGTGAACACGAGAACAACACATTTACAACTCCCGACGAGAAAGATCTTTTACCTGGGAGTACGCTACAATTAGATGTACTCTGGTTCATTGTTAGGTTGAAGCACACGGGCCGACACGTGTCGTTCAAACAGATTTTACATTCGGTACCATTGGTGATCGTTTGGTCGCAAGATGTCTGTCCTGTAGTATTTATAGGGGTTTTTAATGTGGGATATAACTCGGTGGTAGATTGTTCTAGATCTGTAGAGTATGGTACCATTGTTGAATATGATTCTGTGGAATATTGTATTGTTATTTGTGGCTGTTCCGTGGAATATTGTTGAGTTGTTGAAAATTGTTCCTCAGTGGTTGAATATTCTGTTGAATACTGAGTAGTTGTAGAAGATTGTTGCATTGAATACTGTGTGGTTGTCGATTGCTGTTCGGTGAAATACTGATTAGTTGTAGTAGGCTGTGTTGTGGCATATTGTTCAATTGTCATCAGTTGTTCTGTTGTTTGCTGTGGAATTGTAAAAGATTCTTCTGAATATTGCGGTGTTGTTGATGATTGTTCGGTGGAGTATTGACTAGTTATAATAGGTTGTTCCGTGGTATATTGCATTGTTGTTTGTAACTGTTCAGTTGTTGAA